GCTAATCAACGGAAATGCGTCACCGCAACTGAGACATGATGAAGGATCGAGGGATAAATGCGACAGCTGACCGGGCTGCTATTCAGGTCGGAGGGCAACTTCTAGTGGGCACGCTGAGATCAGGCCCAAGCTGGGGAGAGATGTGGAGTTGTTGGGGTGGCAGCGGATGATCCCATGGGCATGGCCTGTGAACATCTGATAAAGCGTCTACTTGCAGTAGAGGCTTATCCGAGAAAGACATTGGACAAGGCGCTTGCGCTCAAGCTCGCATCTAGATAGACTACTGGCCGCCGCAGCCGCAAGCTCGCCGAGCCGCGGACAGTAATGCGGTGAATGACTGAATGTACTAGCGATTAAAGTGGCTAGCTATATCGCATCCGCGCGACGAGACATGCAGTGTCCCTGACGCACATTATAGACAAGCTGGGCCCTCAAGCTTGACTCGGTTGCTGATGCGACTTCAGAGTGTCTGGCTGGAGATGCAGGGCTCCATCATCAGCGTGCATGGGTGGAGCAAACGCCAAGGCGCTAAACCCAATCCACGCCCTCCCTCCCGTCGTCGGTACGAGAGGCTGCTGATGTTTCAACGACCTCATCGCTGCAACCACTCCACCCACCCACGTCGCGCGCACCCCATCCACGGCCACTCCGGACTAATTCCCACCGCTCTACGACCGCGACTGCCATCACGACGTTTTGCAGCATTCACAGTCGACGATGCGCTAGTCGGCAGCGCCCCGACCTCGCTTTCTTTCACCTGCTGCATTCGACCAGCGCCCTTTCAACACTCACTGCGCCTCGTGCTATCTCGGCGCTTCCATTCTTACGCCAAAGCATCTGCTTTAATGAGCGCGCCTCACTCCTAACCTGCGCATTTCACCGCCGACTCCACCGCCAGCCCTCTGCACGCAGCCTCGATCACGATCCAAACACCGCGCGGTTGATTCTCGCGAAAACATCAAGGAAAAAGCGCGACCACACACTTCAAGAAAGCTATAGACGCGCGCAAAACGGGTGCGCAGACGGCGCCCCAGGCCGCGGGACGGAGGACGACGTAGTATGCCAGGCATTCTCACCATGAACCACACCGGGTCCGACTCAGCGACGGCTTCACGAGATGCAGAAAACAGGAAGCGCAGCCACAACGGGGATCTGGCTAATGGCGGACTCAACGGCGCGCGAAGTGATACGCCGGCAGGGGGACCTGCTGTCAATGGGGGTCCTTCGCGCGAAACCAGCACCAACGGCGCATCCATGGCAGTCGCAGCAACGGCCGGTCCCACGCTCGAACAATACTCGGATTTGCCCCCGGAGATTGCTCATATCGGCCCTGAGCAGTACATGTCCCTGTCAACACTGTTGTTGCGGATATCCCAGGAATCTTACAATGAGTTGGAGGAAGTCCTGAAGAACATGGCCGCCATCCAGATAGCGCCAGTATCGAACGGCGCTCTTCCCAATGGCCTTGGCGCGGCAAATGCACAAGTGAATGCAGAGGCGAACAAGCGTAAAAAGCTGGTTGTGCTTCAATTCGCGCAGGAGCAACGGGCTAAATTCATCAAGCTGCTAGTCCTCACCGAGTGGGGAAAGAAAGCGTCCGTTGACATATCAAAACTCATTGATTTGCTGGCCCACGCGAGTACTCAGGCAGCCCATATGGATGCTGCTGACTACAAACTGGAAAAGATTAAGATTCTGTCCAACAATGCCAGAGAAAACAATCCGGACGTTGCGACCGCCCTGGAAGTGCTATCGACAGGGAAAGCGCCATGGATGCCGAGCCTGGGCTACATACCGCCTGAGCCCATCTCTGCCGAGCAGGCCCTCAAACTCCTTCGGTACATGAATACCTCTCTCTCCATACGCCTCAACGTACACGAAAGCCTCCCACAACACCTCCAAGACTGGCGTGTGCACTCTGGACGCGCAACTTTTGTTGTTGCTAATGAGCTGGAATTTGACGTCATGTCTTTTGTAGAGGATGCTTCAGAACAGTGGTTTCTCATCGATCTCCGGTTGTTGTTCACTCCTGCACCTACCATTACCGTCGGTAGCCGTTTCTTCATGCAACTCAAGCTGCAGGCCGACGTAGTTCTAAAGGAGAAGGGTCTGACCGGCCTTTTCGACTTCCTGAACAACTTCGTTCTAACGCACAAGATCTCAGTGCTTCGATCGCAGGCTGTTAATCTCGTTCGAAGCGGCTGGGCTGGATCTCTCAAGGTTGAGCCTGTGCATCGCTTGCTCGTCGTGTCTTATTGGACTGATAAGCCTGGAAAAAAGAATTGGATTGAGATTGGCGTATCGAACAACAAACCAAAGAACGGCAAGGTTTCGTGGAGAGGGCCTCCCATACCGTCGCTGACTACGCGCTGGTTCCGCCAGGGCAAAGAAGTGAAAGATGTCAAGTTCCATTTTGACTGGAAGGATCTCTCCATGGAACGCGTTATCAAGCAAGTCATCGCACGCCACACGAGTGATATCTTGCGATCCACAAAGGAGAGTTTCAAGTCTGGAGTGACGGCGAACGCACATCTTTCCGAGACCGAACCTGCAGACTCTACACTCAACGCATCGCTGGGTACGAAATATACATCAGTTACCCTATCACTAGAGTCGGTCACTGGTAACTACATCCTGCGACCAGCTAGCGCACTATCAGCGCGAGCGGAGAATGCTTTCAACCAAGGCAGAGAGCCATCACAGATTGCTCATGTAATGACGCAAGTGCTAGCCGGCACATTGCTCAGTCTGATCCAGAAGAACGCACAACAACTCGGCTGGCAATCGGTCGCAAGACAGGCTTTGAAACAGCAGGTAGTGTCGGCTGCTGTCAAATTGGATGTCATCTCTTCCACGCTATATTGCCCTCGCGGCTGGACACCAAACTGGGCATTGGCAGCGGTGATCGACTCTTCGGGCGAATCGTGGTGGATCTTTGAAATCGGATCTGGTGGAAACAGCCTCGAATACGCCGAACAGATCAAGTTGGACAGACCTGATGGAAGCTCCTTGCCCATCAACCGCAACACCTTGGCAAGTCTGGAGAGGGTCGCTGTGCAGCTTCTGTCGTTCCGCGTCACAGCTCGCCAACTAGAAAAAGAGAAGAAGAATTTCAGTTTGCAACCTGAGTTAGGGCAAGCAGGCTCATTCGTGGAAGCTGGTTGTGTTCCCCGTCGATGGGTGCTGCATGTGCAAACTCCGGACCTTCTTGTGCCCCAAGCAGACGAAGACTCCTGGCTTGAATCAGACATCAAGATTACATGTGAAAGCTTGAAAGTTGGAGGTCAGGACGTCTGGCATATGGCTGTCGGTAAAATGGTCAAATCTGTTGCTGCAGACATGCATAAGCTCATGGCAGCCTCACCACAGACCGCCTTCAAGTTCTCAGAAGATGGCAACTTCAGGATTCTTCTTGCCACGCCCTTTGGGCAAGATATCCTAGGAGAGCTGCGAGCACGACTGCGAGATGTTAACCGTCTTCGTACCTTTGCCAGTACCCTTCAGAAGCGTCAAATGCGGCTTTCGTCCTCCTCCTTACAGCGCGTACAGTTCCAGTACGGTCCATCGCCATACTCTGCAACTGTCAACTTTGGCGCTGAAAAGGAGCTTACCATCGAGCTGTCACATGACAATCCGCATCACCGGATTCTCCATCTGCTTACTGAGATCGCCAACGATCGGCTGCCTTCCTTCCCAACCACGGAGGTCAGCGATGTCGATGGCCTGGATCGCTTCTGTACAACTCTCGTCGCGACCCGGCCCCTCTTCAAGGCCCTGCGCGAAGTCGAGGAACGATCGCCAGGCAACTACAGTAACCCCGCAATTCATGTTCACTCCGTCCTCAAATACCGACTCACCTATGACAATCCGGTCTGCACTTTCGACGTGCGCCTTCAGCCCAAAGATGACCAGGTGTACTGGTTCGTCGAAGACAACTTGCGTCCGAAGGATCCTACAAATCAAGCCACAAATCTACCAACTCCCGAGCGTGCGCCTGGTCATAGGCGTCTCGACAGCCTACAGGCCAAGCTGAAGGAACTCTTCAGTGGGAAGGGTCCAGGATGGTTTGGTACCCGAACCGGCATGGTGGCGGAATTGGACGCGATCCCTGAAGCACTATTCAAGCTGGATGAGTGTGTTTTGAGTTGTAAAATGGCAGGAGGTTATGTTGCACCGCCACCACTTGAAAAGCCACCGCAACAAGCGCAGAACCAGGGATCTGGTCCAGGACAGGCGCCTGCACAGGCGAACGGAAACCAGCAGGGAAACCAGCAGCAGCAGGCTAGGATGCAACAACAGCAGCAGCAAGCGCGCCAGCAGCAGCAAAGACAGGCTCAGGCCCAGGCTGGGAAGCAGCACCCGAACATGCAGCAACATCCGAGAAGCCAACCTCCGAATGGCAGACCCACGCAACAGCAGATGCCAAACGGCCGCCAGCAACAACAGCAAGGTAGAGGCGGTCCAGGAGGTCGTCCAGGGCAGTCCAAAAACGACGTCATCACCATTGATTAGAAGACCTTGGGATGACACCAGCATACCAGCTGTAATTGCGTCCATTCCATTCACGATTTGTGTACAATGTTTTCTTTGCACGTTCTTCACGTTTTTCTAGCATTGGGTTAGCGGGACTACGGTATAATTTGCGCTTTCAACAGGTTCTGCTGTCTTGCGGTTCACGGTGGGATTTCCACCGGATTATGTATTTTATCTGACATGGACGCGAGGTCGGCTTTTTTTCGGCGGACGATTTGGGCCCGCGCTTTTCTTCTTTTGCTTCGTAGCTTGTATGATCCTTCTTTTTATACCATGGTGGGAACTTGCGACGAGGGTAGACATGAACAGTATCACGCCATGGCTAGATGTGGTGCTGGCGATCTACCGATATAGATATCAAATGCATAGATGCTATCAAAGGTGTATTATGCTCAAGCTGGAGAACTCGTGTGCACCGCAAAGGCATGACCATGACGTGCTTGTTGACCCAGTCCGCGAATTCTATATCAAGAACCTGTTGGCTCGACCGGGTACTGCTGCACAACAGCCTGACACCTCGTGAAAACCTCACCCTTCATCAAGTCTTCGCCCTGCATATTTCCATACCTCTTCAGTTCTGGGCTAACGATCAGTTTGAGTGGCCTTTCATCGGGATGTGGCGACGACAGCAGGTCACCGCTTCCTGGTGGCAGGATCATCATTACTCTGTATGGTTGCGAGCAGAGTTCCATCCATGTCTTCGCGCAGAGGCGTATAAGAGTCTCTAACGCCTCGGCGTCCTTCGGTTCGAGAACAGCTATCTTAGATAGTACCTGGTGTATTGCACTCAGAAGCGAGGTGATGGTAGCTTCATAGCTGGCTTTCAGCTTTTTCTCATCAGGTGTGGTTTCACTTGATGGGTTCATTAGATCGAGAACCGCCCTGGCCGCCTCGTAGCGACGGGCTTCAGTTGCCGCAGGTATACTAGGCCACTGTGTAACATCTAGGTTTATGCATTAGTCAAGTATCTTGATTCGGACGAACGAGGGCCTACCTTTGGTATAAATTGGTAACCATACATCATCATAACTCTTTCCTTCCAACCCCAAGATAGCGAACGGAGTACAAAACACGTGCGTGTATAGTAGAGTCCACATAGTATTCTGCAGGATAGCCTTCTTTAACACCCTTGTATTGACTTTGTGGATGCGTAACAGTTGGTCGTTGGAGAATGGCCATTCCACTTCACGGCGCATGTCCCATTCTAGATTCGTGAAGTCTTGTACCTGACTCACTACTGAAAAGAATTGAGTAGAGATGTCACGGTATCGCATCACCTTAACACTTCGAGCTTTCGTGCGCTGTGGGTAGGCCTTGTCGATGAATGCCTGCTTTAACTCCTCGTTTGCTGATCGAAGCTGCGTAATTTCGAGGGTATGTTTCTCTACTAGCTCAGCATTTTGTTTCTTGAGCAATTCTCGAAGTCGTTGTTGTTCCTCGCTGAACTGAGTGGTTCTCGCCCGTACTTCATCGCGCATGCGCAGTCTTTCTTCGTCAGCTTTGGCCTTGACATGTCTGAGATGAGAAACTTCTTGTCTCTGCTCCGCCAGGGTGGTCTGAAGCTGCAAGATGTCTTGCGTGTGCTTCTTGGTCAGTCCGGCTTCCTGTCGTTTGAGATCCTTCTCGTGTCGCTTTTGTTCTTCTCGAAGTTTCTCTTGCTGAGTTTGTAAATCTTCGCGCAACAGCCGTCCTTCTCGTTCCGCATTGAGCTTCAATCGAGCGACATTTGACTCATACTCATTCACTGTCATTTGATGGCTCCCCATCTCTTCCCGCGTTTGTTCGCAATGTTTCTCGTATTCGTTCTTCATCCGCTCGGCAAAGCTGACCTCTAGATCTTTTATGCGAGTTTCGTAGGTGTCTTTCACTTCTCGCAAGTGCGCATCCCACTTCCAGTGTTCTTCGAGCATCTGCTCTTTAAGACTGCTAATCTTTTGCTCATACCGCTTTTGCTCATCCTCCTGACGAGCCGCACCTAATTGTCCTTCGGAAGATGCCTTGGTTGACTTGTTCTCTTTGTCCTGTTGCTGTGAACCATCGTGTATTCGGGCCTCGAGATAGCGCTTTTCTTGTTCGTGGGTTACAAGTTGCTCGCCCAGCATGTCTTGAGCTTTCAGCATCTGTTGGTGCTTGCTATTGACCTCCGTTCTCAGGCTCTCCACCTCGGTCCGACTAGCTCGCAGTGTACTTTTCAACGTATGAACCTCAATCTTCAAACTATCTAAGAGCCCCGCGTCTGCTCGATAATTATCCAATGACCGGTGAGCTGCATCAAGTGAATGACAAAGCTCACGATATCGATGCAAAACCTTGGCAGCCTCTTCTTCTGTTGGTCCATCCATCAGTGATTGTAGCATTGGGAATTCCTCTCCAGCTCTAAGTAAGAGTTCCTCAACTCGAGGTGCACCCTGCGGGTTGGACGAGAACTGTCAGTACTTTGTCAGTCTAAGTTCTCATGGTTTACCATTAGGTGAACTCACGACCTCATCGTGCGGCTCCAACGGACCTTTGTCGCGCTGCAAGGCTGCTTTTGTTGGTCTTTTGGGATCAACTTCCTTGGATGTTCCGCCGGATGATACGCGATTCTTTCGTGAAGTAGCAACTGTTTCGACTTTGGCCGAGGCAGGGGTGGCAAGGCTAATGCTACGGCCCAGCTGTCTGGGCTCACCCGTCTGATGTGTAGGTGACGCTCGTACTTCGTCTCTGTCTTTCAATCGAGACTGCCGACCTGCATTCATGACTGCTTGCTTGGCTGGTGATACACCTGTCGTCGTGCCAGGTAAAGTGCGTCGGTAAAGCCTCCTTTACTTTAAGCTTGGCCAGTAAAAGCTCCTTTCTGCGCAAGTGCTTGATGTTTACTCTGCTTAGCTTGATAGTTCGCTTCTTGGAGCCTGTCGTACGCCTCCAGGATCGTTTGTACCCTGGTCACGTATACCGTTTGAGCAGATATGCAAACGTCTGCAACGAATTCTGATTTATTGGAGGCGAGACTTCACAAGACTGAGTGCGATACAGTGGGTCTGCGGAGTAACAAAATATGCCTAGGTAAGCTGGAGCCTTGTGCGTCACGTAGTCTGATGGTGGCTTACCGCACTACTAATTCAGCCTACCCCACGCGAGCCTTCGCAATCGGTATGTCTCCTATATTCGCAACGTCTTGATAGCTTTCCGGAAGCCCCGCTGCCTGGTGCGAGTGGCGACTTCGCACCTTAATGCCTCGTAAACGCGTTCCCTACTTAGACACTTATCCATGGATGTAAGCTCTCATAACATTGTAATCCTAGAATGAAGCAGATCTCGGAAAGGCTCGCCACACAAATTGGGAGCATCGTCGCCGTTGGCTCCTGACCTCCCGACATTCTCAAAGCCTTACTCTTGGACAAAAGAAGGCATGACTTGTCGTGGTCACATCTGATTGGTCGACCACCATGTGCTGGCCTGCGAGTAAGCCTTGGAGGACGCCTCCGCCCTTCCGGTGGTGCGGAAAGCGGCCCTGGAACACACCTTCCATGCACTAGGGGCCAGGAAACGCCAAAGCTCGACTTATAGAAAACACCCTGCAAAATACGGTAAACAGTGCATACTTGCGCCTGATAGGCGCATTTTGTATTGGTATAACTTTCAACTGGTCTTACAAAGCGCAGGCAAGCATAACTCAGAAACCGCCAGTCTAGATGCAACAATGTAGAATGGCAAGGTGACATATAGTATAGGTCTAAGGGGTCGTGACGAACTTCAAATAACAGCACCGATATCGTACGCATCAACCTTCTTGTCATCCATGAAGAACATTTACTGTCCCCAAGGACTGCGACGCCGTTGGGGCAGTCTGTTCTGTTTCAGACCGACTGAAGTTTGCTTCATCAGCCTGCGGAGGTAGTCTACCACCTTTGCGCGTGTGCACCTTCCGATATATAAGATAACCGAGAGCCACTGCTACAATAGCAGCCGCCACACAAACGCCCGCTATGCCACCGGTCGAGAGCCTACGAGTGCCAGAAGAGTCGCCGCTGTTGTCATCTGTAGGTACGGCAGTACTTGAGGGCTCGCCAGTCAAACTTGGTGTCTCGGAAGATGCAGGCGATGTTGGAGGAGCGCTTTGCGTCGAAGCAATGGAGGCTGCTGTTACTGATGTTGACTGCAAGCCATATGTACTCGAAGTCCAGCGCGATCCCTCGGAGTTCTCCGTTGATAATATAGGCCGCTGGGTCTTGTTTTCGATGCTGATGTATACGCCGGACGGGGTGAACATGTTGCTTATTCTAAGGCTGCCGTCTTCTTGTGAATCCAGCCGCCAAAATTGCCCAGTTGTTTCTTGAGTTGCGAAAAATTGTAGGTCGATGATCTGATAATTGGTGACGCCTAGCGCGAAATCGTCCCCCTTCCCCACTGTATGCAGCCAATAGTATCCTTGAGAGTTGGTCTTTGTCGCAAACCACTGCTGACTGTCATGCCCGGTGACAGGCTCCAATATCACCGAAGCATTCTCCGGGGTAGAAGCAAGTGCACTAGACCAGCCGAGCGACTCAGTCTGCAGTATGAACGTAGTAGACACATCGATGTCAACCATGGTGGCAACCTTGGAAGGCTTAGTGTCGAGAGGGACAGTTTCAATCGTGGTAGATAGAAGGCTACGCATCAATATATATGAAGAGCAAAACCCGAGGTTGTTTTCTGATAATCCCATTAGAGCTGCGGCCGGTTCTTTTTTAGCGCCGACGCATGGTGTGCATCGGGAAGCATTTGGGAGCCGCCACAATATTGCCTTGTTGCCTATTTTGACTCAGCCTCGTCCGCAGCATGCTGCGGTCTCTTTCTCGCTTCCGGTTACCGGTACAGGGTACCATTGTATGCCGCTATCATATAGTGGATAATACTTGGCTGATCTTCCGTTGCGATACGTCAGGCTGTGGGTACCTAGGTAGCTGAAGAACAAAGCGCAAAACAGTCACATGAATTCATTCAATCAGCATGATCATGATATATCATGCACTCAGTTATGGATAGACTACCGCGCCACGCGATAGTTTGTGGTGCTTCCACCAAATAGAAGCCTCCAAAGAGCCGCCGATTAGCTCCAAGACCAACTTCAGCGTAGCAACATAACGTACGGGCTGTTGCTGCCATTCTTCAACAGTGAACCCGACTTTATCATAGCGGATGTCCAACACACATGCGATGTCCAAATCTGAGAAGAAGTTAGTGGCCAATGACATGGAGGTCTAAGCGGATCGACCGACCTTCCTTAGCATTCTGATAACGTCGAGGCCGCTGATCTTCATCATCGGAGTTTCTGAAGATCTCCAATTGCGTCTTGCCGGCACTAAGATCTCTTAGTGTAAGCTGAAATGACACCTCCTCTTTACGCGGCTGATCCGACAGGACTAGGTCACCCTTATTGAGTAGCCATGTAAGTTGAGATTGCGCGTACGTGGCTCCATGGATCTGGGCCATATCCTTTTCTACGTGGAACGTATTTGAGTAGAGTTGGTCGAAGCAAACCGCGTAGTTGTGTCGGCAAACATCGGTCCTTCTCAAATTCGGTATCGCATCTTTCTCGATACCACATACCACTGCTCCTCGAACCACTGCTGTCCAGGACTCCTTCGGCTGTCGGTAGCTCATCTGCATCTCTTCCTCGGTGATCGTCTCCTTGAGGCGATGTTTTAGGTACTCAGACGCCCCAAAACCACCCACAAGAAACAAGTGCTACACGAAGAGTCAGTATTGAGGATCAGTCACTGGTGGATCGCTAGGCAGATACCTTTGGACGACTGCCTCTTTCTTCGATGCGATCAACATGTTCCCAGATAAGCTCAACTATCTCTTTGATGCAGGAGTCGAAAAAGCCTCGCATTGTCGATCTACAAATCATAATAAGCAGTGATGACATCAAGAAGCACTGAACATACTGTGGAATGGTAATTAGGCCCTTGTTTACTTTACCAAAGATGTCAAGGTTCTCCAACTCCCCTCGTAGACTGAATCGAACATCAGGTGTTGAGAATGCAAACTGCTTCTTGACATCGTCGAACGCTTGCATGAGTTCTCTCATGGCGGGAGTTTCGGAGGCGTGATTCGCATTTTTGTCGATGTCCAGATTTGGGTCGAGCTTTAGATATTCCTCCTCTCCAAGCAGCATTCTCAGCCACTTTTTGAACTCATGGTTGATGAAAATGGATCCACAGCGACTGCCTGGTATAGTAATTAGACTCCGCATGGTCTCAGACTCAGTCTTACAAACCTGTGGGCTTGCCAATCTGCTCCAATTCGAGAGTTGGCGATCGTTGCGTAACTCGATATGAAACAACATCCTACATCCGAGATTAACCGACCGTTGAAACAGCGTCAGGTGCAAAAGTGTCATAGAAGGCTTACAACAGTACCGCCACCTGCGTCGCAGAGAATGAAGTAGTCCTTAGACTTTTGACGCCGTTAGTTGCGGATACCTCCAATCGTAATTGACGCTTACTTGAAGGAATTCCTCTTCTTTTTCGTCACGATACCACCGCGCAGTGTAAAGCGCAGCTGCCTCGGGCTCTGTCACGAACATGATTGGCCTCAGCTTTGGAAAGTTGTCCTTATTAAACCCAGCTTTTGTGAGAGCTCTGTACGTAGAGTTCATAGCCATATAAGACCACTTCTAAAGCTTTGTCAATAGATTATCACGCCGAGAGATCTGTGGACATACTGTGGGTATTGTCACAACAATATCCGTCGTTGTGTGTTTGGCGAACACGTTATTCTCATCTACTCGCACTTCCATTTGCACGTAAGCAAACAATTTCTCGAGGTAGTCCGTCACAATCTCCTCTGGGCTCTTGTGAGAATACGGCGGTAGGTCGTTCTGGCCTTTGCTCAACATCATCTCGTCAAAGTTCAGATTCTTCATGCCGTCCAGAACCTGTAAAGTCATGTCAAGTTCGCCTAATAGATCTTCCACGCCAAGCTCCAACTTAGTGTGAATCATTGTCACTGCATCTGCGCTCAGACTCTTACCCCATTGCTGCTCCCCGGCCTGACTTGAACGCGAGTAAGAGATAACGCTTGGAACCTTCTCCTCGTTGTCCATCTGCGGACCCCATTGCTCAATTACATCGATTTCCTCGAGAGAGCATTCTGCACCTGAAGGTGTAGCCCACGCAATGCCTATATGCATCCCTTATTTTAGGACTAGCACGTCGTACGAGACGAAACAATGTTCACTCACCACTGAATGTCGTGCCATAGTCTATTCCCAAAACCAGTCGTAGTTCCTGAGGTTCCTGTAAAATCTTCTCCTCTCCCAATGGCACAGTGGCTTCAATCGGCCCATGACCTTTCCCAGACCCTGTACTGGTGGGTGCTTCGAGTTCTGCCTCCTCGGTCTGCTCCAGTGCAGACACATTCTCGAAGTGGTAAATTTTGTTCATTGGGAAAGGTTATGCGATGGTATTCTCAGGCGGTTGTGGCTTCGTTGAGATTTCGAAGATCTGGATCTGATCCTCGATTTCCCATTGGATAGCGGTTCCTATCTTGGACGGTGAAGTAAAACTCTGGACATACTAGAGCGTAGAGTGAACGGTATGGCGAAGACGACTTCAGCCGGAAGCACGCATCATGACTGGGTAGTCAACGGTTGGTACGTCGGTCAGATTTTGCCACACCCATAGCAAGCAGCCGTGTGCTTGTGGTGTGACAGCAATTTCACGTATGCGCCGGATTTGGAAGTAATTGACGAGCGAGCTGAAGAGGTCTCGTGTTCGTATGCATGAAGCTCATAAGCGAGGCAAAGCGTGGGACCAACAGCTTCGCACGCTTACCGCCACCTCACTGCGCCTGCGAGAATCGAGCGCGGCTTTGGACTCAGACTAGGGTCTGATCTTCCGAGATTGGTTGGGGGCTGGTCTGTTAGATGCGGTATGACAAAACGCCTTCTTAGGCAGAAGCGAGATGCGTGGCATTAGGAGTCTCTATAGGCATGCGCAGAATGCGAATGACGGCTGAGCCACCTTTTCCCACACTTGATGCGGGGGTCGCGACGTCTCAACCCGAGGGTCAACAACTCTGCTCATAATTACTTGCAAATCACATGTACCGGTGATACCAACCATTACTAGTGAGCGCTAGCTTTCGAAACCTTCAACATCTGCGAGTTCATCACGGATTGTATGCATGGGTCGTCAGGTTGATTTCGACGAATTAGTTACACCTCGGCATCGTACCGGACTCAGAAGAAGCTGATACGTTCTTGAGATGGGTAAGCACTGAGACAATTAGTTGAAAATGACAAAAGAGTAATTTGAATACTATGTAGTTGTCCCACGAGCTCATGAAGAAGTGTCGGTCATGTCCTCGACCAAAAGCGGCAAGACGTTAGTACTTCGGAGGAAACCCTTGCAAAAGTCTAAGAACGTCCAAATGTCGCCAAAATCTGTTCTCAGCAACCTTGCATCCGTCAATGAGCCGATACGGCGTGGATCGATCAGCTCTAATCTGGAAAAGTCTAACGGTGGAAAGCGCGAAGCTATCAAGGCATCATTCAAAGAGAGTCAAATTTACAAACTCAAAACTAAGATGACCTCCGGAAGGAAGGCAAAGACTGAGAAAATCGGGTCTCTAGAAAAGCAAAATGAGAGCATCGAACTGGAGACTGCTCGTGACACTCCAAGTACGCCGCTGCCGGAGTCTTCATTAGCGGAGGCGTTACCCACTAGCAATAGCAATGAACCCACTGCTGACTTGGAAGCTCCCGAGCCAAGTACCACTGCTTCACCAGAACATGTTTCCGATACCTCGTCCGAAGTGTCGGTCACCTCGCTCGTTGCCGATCTCGATCAGGCAACGAGGTTTTTGGATGATGAGGGCGATAGCCAGGACACGAATCTTGCCATTACCTCACACGACCCACCCCTGCTGATACATGGTCAGCCTGTCGAGCCGATGACAAACCCTACATTCAGCATTTTCGACACATCAGAGCAGTTGCATCAAATCAGAGCGTTGATCTTGAAGCAGGCATACGACTTCCTTACAGAAATGCCTGCTGATACGACCACCATGGACTATGTGGACCAGATACTCCAGGAGTATCGCGTATTGCTGCAGAGGTACAGTTCGAACTCGGAAAATCTACAGCAAGCGACAGATCAACTGAAAGTGTACCACGATATCGAAAAGAAACTCAGGGATACACAGATGGAGTTGAGAGAGACAAAAGGAAGACTACAAGATGCGGAAAAGCAAAAAGGTAGATATGACAGAGAGTCTACTCAGCAGAAGGGACGATCAGCACAACTGGAAAGACAGTTGAAGACGCAGCTGTCTAAAGACAAAGCACAGTGGCTATCTGAACGTAAAACCCTCTTGGAGGAAAATGAGACGCTAATGATGTCGTATGGTCAACAGATACAGAGCCTGAATAGTAGCCATTCTGTTGAGATCGGGCGACTGCAAAAAGAGAAACAAGATCTCTATCAACATACAACACTAACGGAGCGAGAACACGACCAACGCTATATCCGTTTACGAAACGAGAAGAATGCCATGATCACGGAATTGAAACAACAGATCGATTTTCTGACAGACGAGATTACACGCGCTAAGAGATCTGCGGAAGAGCAACTGCGCGTGCAGAGGGTCACGCTCAAAGCAGAACATGAGCATGATCTACTCATGCATGACAAGGATGTTAAAAAACTCCGGAAGGAATTGCAGATACAAAAGACCAGTCTCACCGAGGCGCATACGCAAGAATTACAGCAACTGCAAGAAAGATCTCAGAGTGAGAAGGTTGAGCTTGATAAGAAGCACGACGAGGAAATGGCACGATTGCGATCTCAGCGCGAAGAGCTGAAAGTGGCGCTTGTTGTGAGAGACCATTTCAAGGGCTTGAAAGATCGTGAGCTTACTGCGCGATACAAACGAATCTCCACTGAGATCGAAAACTTCGCAAGCATGGAGTGGAACACTCGATGTGAAGCCAACTGGCCCCTCTCAGAGGCACAGCTTATGCGGCTTCATCCGAAAAATACAAGAAGACTGAAGCAGCAGATAGTTCAGCACTCCATGTGGGTACTTCTGTATGAGAATATTTTCAGTCTACCATTCAAGGTATTTGGGAAAGAAGGCGTGAGGATGAACGATGACTGGACCAGTATCTACGATTTAGGTAAGTCTGGTATAGTCGCTCAGATGATGTGACACTAATAGTCGCAGGTGTGTCCTCACTAGAGTGGCCCACGGTACCCTCAGAGATTGAAAAACAGCGGTACGAGACTGCTCGTTCACTTCTTACGGCCATTGAAGCACCTGGTCGAGGATCGACGGAACACCAAGAGCTACGTACTGCATACAGCGAAACGATCTCAGCATTGGTGACGATTATCTCACAGGCTATCGAAAGGGTTGCATCACTGAACGAGAGAGACTTGAAGTTACTTGATGCTCTCGTGAACCTCAGTGGGAGGACTTGGCTGGAATGTTGTTCTCAGCGATACAGACTCATCATGCAGTTGCCTATAGCTGAGGGCAATATTCTCAATCTGCCCCGCAAAGAAGCCCAGGCACTGACGCTTGTTGTCAGTCCGGAACTGAAGCGGTACGGCAGCTCTCAAGGCGAGCAGCTTCACGGCGGCGAGCCGATCACCGGTTGGAAAGGACTTGCCGTATCGTATCCAGCATGATAACAGGTGCGTTGGCAGAAGCCACAAAGCGGGGTCGATAGGACGAGAATGTTGATACCCAGCCTTGCATATGCGCTAGTGTATACGTTGCTTCTCCGGTGAACGCAGGCATCAACCAGTGCATGTAAGCCTACATGCAGGCTGCTACCTAGTCAAAGGCCCAGATGGCCCTCATGAGATCTTGCACATGCGATTCCAAATGAGTGGTGGCTAATTCTGGTGAACAAGGCTGAGATCTTGAGCATGATGCGGGGCTGCTGTGGGCACTCTCACCCTTTACCCTTTACCCTTTACTGGTCTTCGTCACTTCACACGGTAGCTTTTCAAGCTTGAAGCATTGATTGTGACTAGAGCCACTTGTTGGACGTGATCAGGTCAGAGATCAGGAAGGCGCTTGGGCTGTTTCAACGGAAGTGGTACGTACTGGCTAGGCCTCTTGATAAGCCGAAAGATTGTTTGACAAGTACAGCAAAGGCTTCGGAGATGGGGTTACGAGATAGCTTCAGGGCCGTCGTGAAACCGAAACGGGAGGCAGTCAATGCACCCAGACCACGAGTCAACGTACCAGCACCCCCGACCATTGAAAAGGGTGCATCTTCCCCGTTGCCACTAGCAAAACCCGCGTTACAGCGTCCGACCACAATTAGGCCCTCGAAACCCGCACCGCCAAAGCCACGCGTCACTCCTGAACAAATCCGAGCCCTTAGAGACTTTATCAGGCAACGATATGCGCTTGACATTCAGATATGGGAAAAGAGAAACAACACAGTTTTTCAACGGAGGCTATTGAACGAGAAGATGAAAAAGGCTGATGCAGCTCTGATAGACATCAATAGGTGCCTAGTGGATTGGAATTACCCGGAACGCTTCGAGAGTCGCGAGCAGTACGAGAAATTTCAAGAAATCAAGCACCGGATAGAGACAGGATACAAGAGGAAATGGCAAGACGAACCTCCGTGGGTGCATATGGACACTGGAGGGGATCCAAGCCTGGGGCCCTTTGAGACTGATAGTCGATCGTTGTCTTCAAGACCGCGATGATGGTGAAAGGAAATGGCAACGTAGGCCGGAAATGATTATAATGATAGTGTTGGTACGACTTGACTTGAAGCGCACAAGGTGCGACTTACCAAAAGAGCACCTTATTTCATCTGCAGTTCAGATACATGAAACCTGCGCCGCAGAGCGAAGTAGCTCCAAGTACCCCACCACTGACTGGATGTGCCCAATACACTCCGCCAGGTGCCGTACAGGACACAGTCACATATGCAAAGGGCGAAGTCCGCAGCTTCACCCGGCACATTTTCCAGCTCACATCAGCATGTGATTGTACTGGTATTGCCTACCCAGATTCGCAGGTTGTGTCTACCTCGAGAGGAGTACAGTCGGATTGTTTGTGCTCCAATGCCACAGGTCAACTCAACCGCACCTACGCCGCAGGTACGCCGAAAAGCCTAATCGGATGCATCGTATATTGAGAACACCGAGGGTCGACTGGTACACATGCATAACTCTGTTCCGAAGAGACAAGTCGAAGGGCCTCCATCATTTCAACACAGTGCCCCCGGATATTGAGGCGACAGAGAACGTGGCCATGCGCATTCTTGTCCGATTCATCTTCTTTCGCAGAGTGTTTTAATAGCAGCTATCGGTGCGACTCCAGTCCGAAGGGCGTCTCTGTTCGTCATTGCTCGTGCAAAGCGCGTCGCGGCCCGGGGGTGTTACACGGGTTGGGGATGATTCGACGGTTCGGCGCGGCGTGTCTTGCGGATAGAGCGTAGCGATCGTATGGATGGTGTATAGAATAAGTTATATCCCTAAAGCACTGCAGGCAGTGTATATGGCCCGAACTTGCTGGCTGACGGTATGTGAGCAAGTCTGCATGCCCAGGTGCTCATTGCGCTCCGCCGGCTGCGAGACTGTGTCTGTGCGCTGGCAACGTCATTCTTTTTCTAATCACGTTTGGACAAGCTCTTGGCTTCCCACCTTGCATTACAACATCTGTGTCTTCGAAACTTTGCTCCTCGTAAATGTCCATCAGAGTTTCATTCGATTGATTTTGTAGCAAGGCGCATGTCACATCCACATCGAGCCTGAGAGGCATGCAACGCAAATCGAATATGTACCCATGGATGCCTTGAACAAGCCCAGTGTCTTGCCTCGCCGACAGGTGCTGTGTTCTCCTCATAAGTCATACATCGCCTTGAAAATAAGAGTTCGTGTTCATTAAGAAGCTATCCTGTTCAATCGCCTACTGTTCACCGCTGTGTGAAGAGCATTGGCCACGATCCAACAAATGGTAGCCTTCACTCTCGATAGTGGAAAGAGGAAGGTATACAAGAACGGTCGTAACATATGTATTATCGTACAGTTGGTAGCTCGTTCTTTTCAATGCCGTTCTTGGGTGTTCATAAGAGTGTCACTGCCAAATGCTCACACGCGCCTATCCGACTTTGCAAGACTACCCAGGTGTTTGCACGGTCGCTTCCATCAAGAACGAAATCGCGCGCTAGTGCGAAGGCACGACTTCTCACAATGAACACATATCTGTCAACATCGCATGTTCTTACCGCTATCGAGTGTACATCCGTTCGTCAGCATCATCAACATCGTTAATTAGTACGCCTTCATCGACGCACGTGGCCAATATACTTCCAGAACTAGCACCCAAAAGAAGCTGTCCATACGGCTACGATGGCTCGTAATAGCACACCTTCGATCAAACTTGTCCTCAAAGGCCTGTTCAGCAAAAGCAAAGACACGAATTCTCCACCGCGTTCAGGTGAGCAAGCCCTCCGGATCAAATACTTGTGTTACGAACACGATCGATAGATCCTTGAGAGGAGTCCCTAAACCGAGTGCGCGCTCTATCTAGAAGCCGCGTATACCTAAGCTTCGAATTAATGGTCTGCTTAGTGAAGGTTGCTGACTCCCGTTGATAAGATGCAGGCAACTCTACCAATACTGGCCCTACTAGCGATGCCAGGGGCACGTTCGCTCACCCTGCAACCACGCAACCATCAAGCCTTTCGCAGCCAGTTCAGCCTGACACAAGTTCCGCGCAGAGTACCTCTTCTTCTCTCATGCTGACACCGGGTTCTCAGCTTGGTCCCAGCGCAGTCATGCCGTTGTACGAGCAGATCAAAGAACGTGGCCACTACCTCTGGGGCGATGCTTATTACTCTGTTCTTACAAATATCGTTCCTGGACGTAAAGACCGACGGCTCGACAAATTCCAGTACCACACACGTACCGGAATAGACTGCGTACGTCGCGATCATACTTTCGCGGAAGCTCGTCTTGTACGCTATGAAGTCCAACTAGACGGCCGTCGGGACAAGGGAGACGTCTTGAGAGCATGTCTGGGACAGAACGTCGATGATGCAGTTGAGAAATTGGCGACTCTTCTAGGAGTATTGGTATCCTGTTCAACCAGTAAGATGCCGGATAAGTAGTGACGAAGGTTCTCAGCGAAACTAACAGTAAGGCAGGAAAAAGAGCGGCAGTAGGCTAAGGATGGTCGTTTGAAGGAAAACAGATCGGGACATTTGCTGAGTTCAGGGAACTTGAGGAAGAAGAGTTCGCTTTGAAGACGTGAATTTGAAGGGCTTGATGAACGAGCCTGGGTTCACGAGCAGGATTCATACTGTTATGTAGGAACGGCGTCGCCCTCCATCGCACAAACCAATTACATCAAGTATGGAATCGTCGTCAGCTCGTTTGCCTTGCAATCACGTCGATGTACAAATGCGTGCCATCGACTACTCATGTCGCCACCAATCACTCTTCAAGGGACGTAGGGGAAAGATCCAACAATGAGCAAAGAGATTGTACGACTTCTCGCTGATTGGCAGCACCTTGTTGCGTCGTTACATCAGGTAGTATTAGCGATGGGCCTCTGAAGCCTCTGCAAACGCCATCTATCCTGGCAAGCCGCTTTTGAAAGCGCTTCAACACCGGTCCCCCATAGATGCCGTCAGTCTTCCGTATGAACACCCGAGTCCGTGGTAAGCGTCTACCCCGCATGCCCAAGGTCGAGATCGTGGACTCACCGTGGTCAGGTGTCTTGCCGTTGGTTCTCTTGCCGGTCTCTTACCCTGAGATGCCGCGGAGAGTAGCGCCTTTACCTGTTTGTCAGTGTCTATCAGGCCTGAACCGCTGATACTAGCCGGCCTTATAAACCTTCAACTAGTGTTCTTCCTCTTACTCTTCACCACCTCACTATCAACAACTCAACGCAGCATTTGACTTTCGACCTTCGACCTGGACGAACGATTGACGCTCCTTCACGACGGTCTTCGGCCTCGACCTATCGGGATCTTTCCAACACTAGCTCTATCTTCCCAGCGACAACATCGGAGTGATCATCATGCCCGTCCCCATGCACTCACACAATGACGTAGAAGATGGTGAACTGGTACGCCAGACGTCGGCGATGAACATTAGCGAACAGCCATGGCTGGAGAGCACCGAAAAAGTATACTACTTCTTCACTACGGCATCCAAATTGGCTAACGACGTCAGCTTGATAAGGTCCAAAACCTCAAGGAAGTTTGCCTTGGGAATTGTCGCCTTCTTTACGGTAGCGAGAGAGGCAGGTTCTATGGCAAGAATAGAGTCCAGTCTCATTTCTCGACGCTAAGGCTAACGCAACACTAGACATCGTGATCTGCGAGGACGAGGACACCAAAAAGTTCGCGGCTATCTTGACCTGCAACCACGATTGCCAAACGAAGCTTTTGCGCACCGAACTGAGCTCTTGTCCTGTCGTGGCTGTCCGTACTCTCGTAGACGGTCTTCAAAAGGACACGGCCAAGCTCTTCTGTACGTCCTCTTCTACCTCGACATCCTCATTCTCACCCTCATCGCTGTCGACAACCTCAACACCCCCGATGCGTTACTAACTTGGGCGTGTAGTGAAGTACGCTGTGGGTTCTCAGATACGAGGCCAACAGGGATATACCGATGTGGAAACTGGAAAATTTGTGTTGTGGGACATGGCACACGACAACCGCATTCGCGGTCCTAACGATGATACCCAGGGACTTCTGCGAAGCTGGAGCGACGCACCGGGCGCAGAAGGTCGACCTCCATCCGGTCCTCGCGGCGATGGCTACTACAGCCGGAATAATAAGCGTATGCGACCTGTCGAGCGTCCAGTCGAGCGTCCGGAGAAGCTCATGCCTGAGACGGAAATTGTCGACCTTGATTACTATGACTAGGACGATATGGAACCTTGGAGGGGATGGCTGGTTATCGGAAGTTCGAGAGGAGAAGAGTATAAGTTGGGATCCAGTTCGACCTCGTCGTCAGGGTCATGGCGTGATAGGATTGAGAGGCCGATCCATCTTCACCTGAGATGAGCTTGAGTCCCGGTGCGGTCCTGTTCCTAGCGTAGATGGTCGACGGTCTTTGATGTGCGTGGAGCGCATGGTCGTCTCGACCATCTCAGAATTTTCTTTACGCTGGATGGTTTGCTTGTCAGAGCCTTGTGGTACGATGTGAGCGTGGAGGAAAAAATGAGATGAATCCGAGGATGTTTGAGGAAGCCTTGTCTACCTACCTAGGTAGGTGTCGACGCGTGTGCACGTGAGATGGAGTTTGGCTGGGTCCAAGCGCCCGCGTCATGACGTACCACACTCCCCTATGCCACCCGCAATGCTAATGGCTGTGTCGCTCGAACCAGCCTTCACGTCATGAACAGCCCTTCCAAACGACGGAAGAAGAACGATGGCTCCGGGAAGCCGGTACGAAGTTTAGACTACTTTTTCGCGAAGCAGACGGCTAAAGCAACAGCCAAAGATGCGCCGACGAACGCAGGCCCAAGCGAGCCGCCTGTGGACGAAGACAACACAGGGCTGACCGACGAGGAACTCGCGCGCAAACTCCAGGAGCAATGGGACAAGGAAGATCAACAGCAGGCGCAGAACCAGGAACCGGTGAGCTCAAATGAGCTCTACGAGGAGCCCGAGAAGGCCAATACGAAGGATGCAGCGCAAGATGTAGATGGGCAGGTTGGAGTGTCAACATTGCCAACGCGCGAACCGGCTCTAGGAAATACGCCACCGGACGAACCTACCCAGAAGAAGAACACGCTGTCTCTTCAGTCGACCGCATCCGAAGAAGACGTCATCACAGCGAACATACCATTCGACCAGAGCCCTCTCGAATTCGACCCTTCGGAATACATACCAGAGTTACAGAAGCATTGGGTGGTCGACGGAGGGCACGCGACATACGCGCTATTGACAAGATGTTTCATCTTGGTCAACAGTACGACGAGTCGCATCAAGATTGTCGACACTCTGGTCAACCTCATTCGGACGATCATCGAAAGTGACCCTAGCAGCCTACTCCCGGCGGTATGGCTCGCGACCAACGCAATATCGCCCCCATACATCGATCTGGAGCTTGGGTTGGGAGGCTCAGCCATCTCGAAAGCGCTTAAGAAAGTTTGCGGACTGGACAATGCAGGCTTGAAGGTGTTGAACGCCAAATATGGCGACGCTGGAGATGTAGCGTTCGAGGCAAAAAAGAAGCAGAGCTTTACCCTGCGTAAACCGAAGCCTCTGACGATCAGGAGCGTCTTCGACTCGCTAGTCAAGATTGCGAACAGCAAAGGCCATGGCAGCGTAGAGAATAAGCAGAGGATTGTTGAGAGACTGGTACAAGATGCGCGAGGTGCTGAGGAGAGCCGATACATCGTACGCACGCTTGTGCAACACCTGCGGATTGGAGCTGTCAAAACAACAATGCTCATCGCGCTGTCACGAGCCTTTATGCTATCGAAACCGTCAGGTGCCGAATTCGAGATCCGCGATCGGAAGGACCTGGCGAAACTGAAGAAGGAGGAGCTCGCGGAGATCTACAGCAGGAATGAGGAGATCGTGAAGGCATGTTTCGCTCGACGACCGAACTACAACGACCTTATACCCGTACTTCTCGAGATTGGTGTTTGTGACGAACTACTTGTGCGCTGTGGGCTGTCGCTACACATCCCTCTCAGGCCCATGTTAGGCAGCATCACGCGAGATATGGGCGAGATGCTCACCAAACTACAAGGACGAGACTTCGCCTGCGAGTACAAGTACGATGGCCAAAGAGCACAGGTACATTGCGATGACAAGGGCAAAGTCACGATCTTCTCGCGCCATCTGGAAGTGATGACTGACAAGTATCCGGATCTGGTAGCACTAGTGCCCAAGATACGTGGCGAGGGTGTCTCGAGTTTCATCCTCGAAGGCGAAGTCGTTGCTGTTGACCGCGAGAGCGGAGATCTCAAGACCTTCCAGACACTCGCAAATCGTGCGAGGAAAGACGTTGTTATCGGCGCGGTGACGATCGACGTTTGCCTATTTGCATTCGATCTAATGTATCTGAACGGCGAGGAATTGCTGAATCGGCCTTTCAGAGAACGCAGGTCGTTGTTGAAAAGCTTGTTCGTCGAAATACCGCACCATTTCACCTGGGTCAAGATTCTAGATGCCACGTCCGCCGATGTAGAAGCAGTTCAATCGTTTTTCCAAAGCGCCCTGGACATCAAATGCGAAGGCATAATGGTCAAGATCTTAGACAACCTACCCAACCCCGACCCCCTCGCGGAAACCGACGAAGCCATCGAAAACACGCCTTCTCTCCCACCAACACCTAAGAAGAAAAAGCCCACGAAGTCGAAAACAAAGGCAAAGTCCACTGAGACCGAAAAAGACGAACCGAAGACGTCCGGCCGCCGCAAAGCCCTCCTCTCGACCTACGAGCCGGACAAACGCCTAGACAGCTGGCTCAAAGTAAAGAAAGATTACAGCACCACCTCCGAAACTCTCGACCTGATCCCCATCGCCGCATTCCATGGCTCTGGTCGCAAGGCAGCATGGTGGTCACCTATTCTTCTTGCCATCCGTAACGCAGAAACCGGACAACTGGAAGCAGTCACGAAGTGCATGTCCGGCTTCACGGACGCGTTCTACAAAGCGAACCGCGCAAAGTACGATCCAGACGACCCGGACTCCACAACCGTACTAGCTGGGAAACCGCATTACGTGGAGTACAATGGTGGAGCGGGAACGCCGGCTGTTTGGTTTGAGCCGCAAGAGGTGTGGGAGGTAGCTTTTGCAGATTTGACATTGAGTCCGACGTATACGGCTGCGATTGGGTTGGTCAATGAGGACAGGGGGTTGAGTACTAGGTTTCCCAGGTTCCTGAAAGTCAGGGAAGATAAAAGCATCGAAGAGGCTACTGAGGCGGAGGAGCTGGCCAGCCTATATCGGAAACAAGAGGCAAAGGCACCCAAGAAAGATGAGACTATCAGAGAAGCTGAAGATGAAGACGTGGAGTAAGGGATGACATGGCACAGTAATGGTTAGATACCCTGGAGACAACGTCGTCACTTGAAATGATCGTAGTAAAGAACTCTTTGATTGATTGTATCCTCCGAAACTACCATTTTGGTCTCTCCCTCAGTATCCTGCAGCGCTGATACTTCAGCCTGCGAAACTTCAAACGTCGTATCCGATTCCGTCAAAGAGATGGAGATAGGAAAATCGTTGTCGTCCTCGAACGTGGGGTATCTGCTCGTGCGCACCGCATCTCAGCACTGTCGCGTGTGAGCCACACACGTGCGACATGCCGGCTTGCTCTTCCTCCGCCGTATTGTTGGCACGACCTGGGAGCGGTCGTTCGGCTTCGGCGGGAGGAGCGGCGGTGCGCATCGCATCCACGTCCTTGTGGGTTTAGAAACCGTGGACCTTGATGGTCTTGCCATCAAGGCCCAGGCCCTCCTTCTTGTCGGTCAAGAAGTCTTGAACATCCTTGCGCTGGTCTCCCTGCAACTGGATCACCTCTCCCATCTCGGTGTCTGCGACGACGGTGCCATTGCAGGCAAACTTCTTCTTGATGACTTTGAGAATCTTCTTCTGGTCGAACTTCTTGGGCAGTCCTTGGACGGTGGTCAGAGTCTTACGACCATTACGCTCTGTTGGGGGGTTGACGTCAGCCTTGCGCGATTTCTTGAAACATGGGGAAAGAGGGGAAGGGACAGCGCGCCGATGTCGCACACATGCGAATATCGGGGAGAAAGAAGACAGAGGGGACACGTACGCTGAATACGAATATGGATGTAGTTCTGCTGAGTGGACTTTACTTCTCCTCCAGCATCATCAGCCTCCGCGAACGGATCGAAGGACTTGAGATTCTGGATGTCCGTGGTCATGAAATCGACTGGTGGCGCTCTGCGGGTGCTGAAGGGGTGCGGTAGGGCAGGCGGTTGTCGTGTCGCGGGAAGTGGAGAGTGCGCGTGTGTGAGGAAGGTCGCAAGTAGTTGGGTGGAGCGTGGAGGGTATTAATCGGCCAAGGGAAGGGTGGCGAGGGGACTGGGACCACTATCTGGGGGAGCCCGCAGGCGGTCTAAGCCCCGCTGCCAAGGCACAAGGCCCGAAACAGTCATCAGCGCTGCTGAGTGTCCTAGGGACATCCTTCATTCACCACTCCTCGCATTCGCTTGTCCACGTGTGAAATGCTCAGCTGCGTTGCCGCAAATCCCGCGTTCTGGTTACTGGTCAAAGGCATGATTATCTTCCCGACATGACGTTCTCTTATCTTGTGTCACTATCTCATCACGCTCGCGCACGCGCACTGTGACTCGCCTCAACAAAAGCGCATAGTCCATCAATAGGCTTTGGGCATCATTACTAGTCAAAGTGCAGAAGTCTCATCCACGACTCATGAGCATGTTGGGAGTGGCTCGCTGACTTTCGAGAAGCTTCCATTGGCGTGTGGATGAACCATTGGTTTCAGATCGAGATCAGAGTCACCTGGATCAGTTGCGATGTCATCTGCTGGCAACGCTGAAACGCAGAAGCCCGAGACAGGTAATAAGCGACGACAAGCAGGATGTTCACAAGTGGATTCAAAGCCTCAGTCGCTGTCAGCCGGCCTGAGAGCCACGCACATGCTGTTACTCGTTTATTACTTTCGTATGCCCTTCGATACCATTCGCAACTCTAGGCTGTACATCGGACATGCAACAACGCGAGTGTATCTGTTCGCCTATCTAATATCCCTCCTCACTGTCCGTGGTATTCATTTGCGTCCATGCCAGCCATCCGTCGATCTGGCAGGCTCCTCTTGTCCACCAAGCTCATTGCCAGCTCACTCCAAAACTCTGGCGGAAAACCTCGTCCATGTGCGTCCTCGCCTTGTGCTCTCATCCATTCTCCAGTTGCCT